GGGTGGTGCGTCTGCGCTGTTCCGAATTCCCAAATAATTGTCCCGTCTTTGTCAGTCAAATATATTTTTGCATGATAGAGACAAATACAGCATATTGCAAATAAAATCTATCTGCAAGCTTCATGCAACATTGAGAAAATTTATGTTTCCTATTCCAAAGGTTATATTGAAATATTTAGGTAATGTTTTTTATTCTTGAAACTGTTAATGTACACATGTAAAGGTATCTGCAACATTACAGCGACAGTTTTAAGAAAAGTTGAGCTTATAATATTTATGCAACCAATTATTTTATTATATATTTTCAATGTTACGAACGTAAATATTTCCGCAACATTAAATCGACAGAGTTGAGAAAAGTTACATTTCATAACATTGTTATAATATTTGTTTTACTTACATTTTATAATGTTTCAAATGTAATACATTATTGTATCTACTGCAACATTTACTTGATAACTAAAACGAATGTTTCTCTATTGAAGTTATATCAAATTTATATCCCTTACCATTGGATAAGTAATATTTTGGAAAGCTTAACGTCACATTACGTAATAAATTTTCTGAAGTAAGGTCGATACAATATTGCTGACAAATTTTGCAACATTACATGTTTAGTGGGACGGATGGCACAAGACTGCTTAAAGACAGTTCTTCCATTAATTCTCGTTGGAAGGAACTAATTAACAGACAATTACAAATTAATGACATAATTCAACGAAAAAAAAAATCCTCACAAAAACCAGTTCAACAAGAACTGATCGAGGTTTCCAGATGAGAGGAGGTTGAAATGGGGCGAAATAGCAATCAGACAACTAAAGAACAATAATTCAGCTGGTACTGACTGCGCGGCATTTCTACTGAATTCTTTAAACAAGGAGGCCCCACACCAAGTGCCCAAACCCACATCCTAATAAGTAAAATATGGATTACTGAGACCATACCTGCCGGACTTGGAGATGCTTCCATAGTTGCCATTTTTGAAAAGGGAGACAAGGCTCAATAAGGAAACTTCAAAGGAATATTTTACTTATCAAATCGTCTAATTCCAACTGTCGAACAGATTCTCCGAGAGACTTGTGGCTTTAGACCCAACCAAGCCAAGGTACAGCTGACATGGATTTTCAGTCAAGACAAATTCAAGAGAAATCCAGAGAACAAAATCGCCCTCTATACAGGGTATTCATAGATTTAGTGAAAGCATTTGTTTCGAAGGAGTCTAGTCGCAGGAGTATGGAGAGCCCAAGCAGAATCTGCCGTTGTCAAATTTATCGTTATAGGTTTTATTGTTCTCTTTCCATAATTCTCTACAATTTTCGATAGTTTTTCGGATGACAATATTTGACTCGAATTCTTCCCTTGGACTGAGAATTAATTCTTCCTTGTCATTGGAAATTTCAACAAATTTGAAGTCGATTAAAATTCAATTTTCCTCGTTACGAAAAGGAATATTACGCAACGTTACCATCTTACGCTTGTAATAGTTGAGATCTGACCCCATGTCATGTCATGTACAAGATTGGGTCGCATTCCGAGCACGGGTTATTTTGGGTTAGATTGGGTTATTTTGTATTCATTTTTTGGTATGATTGGTATGATTTTATTGGTATGAAGTTCGATAGGTTTATCTCTAACCGTTTTCGAGAAAAAAAATTATTTCGGTTTTTCTCATAAGAAGCAATGTGTTAGAAAAGGATTTTATATCTGTAAGGAAAATGAAAAAGGTCTCTGTCTAACATATTGTTTCTTATGACAAAAACCAAAATAATTTTTTTCTCAAAAACTATTCGAGATAAACCTATCGAACTTTATATCAGTAAAATCAGAAAAATCAGAGCTTTGGAATGAGCTAATAATATAAAGGGTGTCCTATTGAAAAAAATCAGACTTTGGTCAATATCTCAACATCGGCGCCAAATAGAAAAAAGCTGAGAACGTCACTGAATTCTGCTTGGAAAAGTGCTTCCAGAAAGTTTTTACGGATATCAATTATTTTCATAAACAAAAAAGTTATGAAGGATTTAGAATATTGCTCAAAATCGAGAATCGCCCTCTAGCGGCTAAACGGTTGAAGATATCAAAATGCGGTTTGCACCAATCAAAATTTCATGAAATTTGAGTCCCAGAGTGGAGGGTTCATTTTTTTCTATCTCTAAAAATAAAGGGTGTTTCCATAAGAAAGTGTCCAAATTGGCCCACCCTGTACAGGGTGGTCATTTTATCTTGATAACATTTCAAACTGTCATAATTTTTCTATTTTTGAAGTGATTTAAATAAATAAAAAAACATACTGTAGGGTTGTTTCCTAAGTTTTAGATAGGATGGACAAAAAACAAAAATCTGATATATTTTGACAGTTATATGCACACAAGTAGCATTTTTTTGAATGGAACACCTGGTAAATTTTTAGTTTGTTTGATAATATGTTCCATTCTGATTGCAATATATACAGTGGAATACAATTAAAAAATGTTTTATTTATTTGGATGGAAAATTCTGTCTAACTACCTACCTTTGCAGGTAATCAATATTTTCAGTTAGAATAAATAAAACATTTCTGCATGTAAATAATGTAAATATAAAGTGAATTGTATTCAGTAGTATTGTATTGTATATATTGCAATCAGAATGAAACATATAACATATTATTAAACAAACTGGAAATTCACTGGGTGTTCCATTTAAAAAAATGTTATTTGTGCGCATAACTGTCAAAATATATTATTCTTTTGTTTTTTGTCCGCCCTATCTAAAACTTGGAAAGCAACCCTACGGTATGTTTTTTTATTTATTTGAATAACTTTAAAAATAAAGAAATTATGACAGTTTAAAATGTTATCAAGATGAAATGACCACACTGTACATTCTTAGCTTTTGTTGCTCGACTAGTCACCCTGAAAGTAGACCTGGAAGGGCAAGGTTACAGATATCACCGGAATATTTCTGATGTATATTTATTGTTTCTCAATTACAAGAATGGTTATGACCATAATGATAACATCCTATTGCCAATATGGCTCTTCGGCTAGCTGTGCCCAATAGGGTTGCCGGTCATCACACGAATTAAGTCTAGCTATAACCCAAACTAAGATGCTGCTCAGAAACCAAACTAGCCTCACAATAGAAGCTGGGAAGCTGAGAAGCTTATTCTGTAGGTCGGAGTTTGGGTCGTCGAGCAGATATCTTTTAAAAATATTTTCCTATTTCTTTATGATTTCGTTCCTTTTTCATAAGTTTTTTTTTAAATTTTTTTTCTGATGAGTAGGTAAATAGTCCTCATTGTGATTCATCGTTCAAACAAAAAATTCAAGGGTTTGCAATACTTCTTTCATTTGAATCTTCAGGAATAATTTGGCTGATTTTATATCCACCACAGCAACTAAACATTAAATTGTTTTCAGATTTTGGTATTTTCAGTACCAACATCTTCGATTCTATATAGGCACTGGCCGAACTGGCGGCTCTTAGATATGAGGGAGGCCCCTCAGTACTTGGACAAGAGTATTCTAGAATCTCCGGTAACAATACATGCTTTTTTCTAACATTCCATTACACTTTATTTACTTGATCTCTTCTAATCTTGACTAAAGGTGGGTTTAGCCAACTCTTAATGGATAATGCACAATTTTAATTCATAATTGATAATGCGTAATTCATAAAGCGTAATGCATAAGAGAAAGGTGGTGTTTATACAACGCATAATTTTTGTGCATTAGGAATTAACAAGACAGCTGAGTTTGACATTTGTTATTTTTCATGATATAATAAATAATGAAATAAATAATAATTTAGGCTTTATATTATCAGGAAAAATCTCATTTGTATAATTAAAATCGGAAAAACTCGATTCCGGATCAAAAAACATTGAAAACAACAGGAAAACACACAACCAGCTTTCGAGGTTATGAAGCAAAACCAAAACAAAAACAAACTTGGAAATATACGCTTGCGCTCTAGCGTTTTTTGCACAATGCATAATCGATAATTCATGAAAGTTAAAAGTTGGTCAACTTTATGAATTACGCATTATGCACTAAATTATCCACTATCCACTATGCATTGTATAAACGGGTGTATTTAAATGGGAACTTTTAAAAATTATCGATTATGAATTAAAATTGTGCATTATGCATTATTAGTTGGCTAAACCCACCTTTAAACTGACTAATGATGGAGTTTATTTCTAGGTAAACTCTTTTTCATTGCCCAGTAGCTCTGGGTATTAATGTAGCATCCTGAATATGTGCAATCTGGAATATTTTTGATAAAAAAGATTTCAAAATCATATAGAATAAGTCTGAACCTTCACGGTATCAGCTGATATAGTTCCTTCCACAATTCGAAAAAACGTTGATTTTAATAATGTTTCGCCTCCTTTCTCAATTGCTTCAATAACCGTAATCATCTCTTGATGATTCATTCTAAGTTGTTACCCATTTTTCTGGAAGAAGATCGATTTCGTTTACAAGTAGAAATTTTTGGTATCCACCAATAGACATATCATCTGTCTCCCTGTCTGTCTAGTGTCTACAATTCTCTATAAAACTCTTCAGTATTTTTCAAAATTTTGTTTTTTTTTTCTTTTTTTTGGCAACTTTAGAAATATCCTTCCACCGGCAGCAACATTTTCACCCAATACTTTCAAAATTTTATTATCTTTAGTTTTCTGAGATATAAGTTTTTGTCAATTTATGTTCGAACCATGTCTGGAACAGTTAAACTTCCCTCAACTTTGAGGTCTCATCAACCATTAACCATTACTCGTAACACAGAAAGAGATGAGTGATAAATGAATTTTTAATAGTTTCCATTTAAAAGTTTATTATAATAACTAAAGTCTTCCTCATTACACTGCAAAAACTACAATTAGGTCCTAAATATTTTCATATAAAGTTAAATTCTATAACTATCACACAAATATAATAGTATATAAATAATTTACTTCTACAACACATCTAACTGCAATAATAAAAATAAGCTGCTTTTTTATAATTCTAACTTTAACTAGATCTATTTGAAAAACTCAAAACTGATTTGATTTTTTTACGTATCCTCGGTGACGTCCATTTATTCGAGTGTCCATTGGACGCTTCCTTTAAAGTTACACCTTCGTCTACGTCTTCGTTTTCGGTTTTTATTTCCATTTTCTGTAAAAAGAGAAGACGGAAAGTGCTGTATTTGCTTCAAAGAACAGAATACCTTCTGTTGTCAAAACAATCGGTGTAATTTTTTTAAAGTTTTGTAACTTGGTCACTTTACACGCTCAGATATTACATTGCTTATTATTACCTGCACGATTAATCTCAAAAATTGATTTTGAGTTTCCAGCGCCTGGGAAATGTGTCTCAATTTGGTTTTGGTTTTTTCCAATTCTGTCATTACGTAGTCGTCGGAGCATTCCATTACAATGTCACCTAAACCATAAAATTTATAAGTATCCTATTTCAAAAAAAACTTATTATAGATATAATTTAAGTAATATAAAACAACCATACTATGAATCTGCTGGTAGGTAAGTTCCATGTGCGCACTTATAACACATTGAAAGATTGGCCAAAATGGAAAAAATGAAACAATGTCACATTGGGTTACTTCACCAGCAAATAGATAATATGGCTCTAAAATCTAAATACACAAAATCCTACCATAGTGTCTCCATTTACGCATGCAAAATTTGTTCACCATGCCTAGAACAATAATACAACTACTCTAAGTGTAAGGTCATGCAGCTACTTGGGCTAAATTTCGTAGGTTAAGTTGGAATTTAAATTGTGGATGAGAATTTGTAATTATGTACTTACTCTCTTCGGAAAATGGACTTCCGAACCATTTTTTTAATATAAAATCCAAAAAACCTTTCTTGTTTTTGCTGAATTCGTTGGGGTACTCAATTATTTCGCACTTGTCTACTTTGTCCAACCACCTGCGTGGAAGTTTTCTTTCCAATTCTGTATGTAAGACAACCTAAAATGTCGGAGTTAAGTATTTTGATCTTGCTCAAATTTAAGTTCAGGTACCTGCATCGCAAGTCTTTTCAATTGAGCATTCCTTCTGACGCTCTCGATATCTCCCACAGCCAAACCGATAAGCAGATTCATCAGTAGGATGGGCATCAGTACCATGAACAAGCTCAAAATTATGAAAGCCGGTATGGGGAATGGTAAAAAGGTGTTTTCTTCTTTGTTGCTCAAATAGTAGGGCTTCACGTAGGTACCCAAAAAATCGATTTCGCCTAGCATCATTGAGAAGGTGCGTATCAGAGCCATCGGGATTGTTTTAAACGACAAATGGTCACCCTAAGTAGTAAATTTAAATTAGGTATCTATTAATGAAACTAACTTTTATTACTTTCCAATCACAAATTTTGAAAAGAACAAAAAGTTTCTAGATTTCCAACATTTTATTTAAATGAAACCGTAATATGTTTCAGCACACCGTGCGTTTTTTCAGGCGGAATTTCCGTCTGTTGAATTTTCTCCTGATCAGTTCTATTTTCAAATGATCAGTTCTAATTTCAAACTATTGTTTTCCTAACAAAATTTGCTTAAAACGATTTACACTATACGTTGTTTCTGAAGTTTTTCTCCAATTTGACTCATGTACTCTTTTCCTGTTTTACTCAGTGAAGTGACTTGGAACAACAAGATACAAGTCTTCAATTTTCACCTGGTTGTTTTCGCTCAAATATTTCTCCTATTCCTAGCATAGAAGTTTCTGCAAATATTCTGATGTCATATTTAACATTATATCTCGCATTATATGCAAATACTACTGGAGCTTCAAGCTTCTTTGGATTTTTTTTATGTCATTTTTTTTTTCTTGATCTATGGACCCCATAGAAATTCGTTGTCTTTTTTTCTGAATATTTATTTAAAAATTTGGTAATAAATGTGGTTAATCCTAAAGTTTCTAACTTCTGATAGTTTTTCAGGTTTTGGACATTTTATAATTGCTTCTACATACATACAGCTTCCTAGCTGATACGGCTACAGCGTCTACTTTTGATATCCATCCCGTGACCTGTCGTGCACACATTGATGACTATTATACCCTAACTTGGTTTGAAAGATCCATCCACCGTAGTGACAATAGAGCTGTTGATGATCATTATATATAAAATCATAGAAGAAACCAACTCTCCATGGGCGCACCACAGGTATTGGTAACGAAAAATGAAACGCACAAGAAAAGGATTGTGATCGATTACTCTCAAATCATTAACAGGTTTACATATTCAGATGCTTATCCTCTGCCCAATATTGAGGATAGTGTTCGTGCTGTGGCGAAATTCAAGATTTTCAGTACTATAGATTTACCAAGTTCACCATACGTGACGACGTAAAGCAGTTTACTGCTTTTGAGGCAGTGCCGGTTTAAGGTAGTTTGCCGCCCGGTGCTAAAAAAACACAGCGCCCCCCCCCCGCCGTTTGGAAAAAACAAAACAATTTTTTTGGAGCATCCATTTCAAAAAATGTGTTCAATTTTCTTATATAGGGTGTCCCAGGGAAAACAGTCCATCTCGATTTATTGGATTAGAAATGAGAATCTGGAAAAATGCTCGGACACGTCGATTTTTAATTTGAAGAGGAACCATTTTTCAGTTTTTTTAACCCTCGTGTTTTAACCCCCTAACTGGGGGGAGGGGAACAACCCCAAATTTGAATAGGGGATAGGGATCCTGTCCTACCTCTTTTTAAAGGTCTCATCAAGTAGGTATCATTTTCATCTGTAACGAAATGACAGCTTGTCAAAATGGTTGGAAATAGACTACTGTTTTAGTGGGAGTAAAGGCTCATCCTCAATCAATCTGGTAGCGAAGTGGCACTTCGGCACGCATGCTAGGACAATGTTGTTTAACGTTGGCATCCTCAATTCAATTCCGTGCTAGCATGCACGCCGACTCCGAAGTGCAAGCTTGCAAGCTGCAAGTTTTTTCGACGCGTGCTGACTTGTGTCATACGCAGTACGGTAAAAAATAATTCAGGTTATCCTTGCGTTCGGTATTTTGCTCGAAGAGCAGAGCGGAGCTGTAATCACTTGACCAACGAGCGCACAGAGCAGTTAAACGCTGTATCAGAGGGCTCGGAATTTTAATAAACTAACGTGAATGAGCCTGCACCGAGTACACTTTTTAAATAAACGAACGGTAAATGTATGCTCGGAGAACTCAGATCAAAATACTGAACGCACGGTTTGTGACCGTACTACACGCAGAGCAGACTGAAAATTGACAGCATTGAGGATGGGTATCAATGGCAGCAAATATCCAGTTAAGTTCCATAAAATTTTGTAGAGGGCGCGAGTGAACTTGGAGTGCTTTGAATTTTGGCGGTAAATGTCAATAGTTTTAAACCGATTTAATAAGTGGAAGGAAACATGAGTACATATGAACAATGAACAGCGAATAAGTTAAAATATCTTCCAAAACGTTCAGTGGCCCTTAAAGAATATTTTCAAAAGTGTCAGCATCAGCTTGTCTCGAAACCACACATCAAATTTGACTTTTGAGGTTAAAATTACATTTGATTATTCACGCGCCAAAATTTAAAAAGCTCCAAGTACAGAAGCGCCCTCTTCAACTTAACTGTCAATATTACATGCCATTTCCCAGCACGCGTACCGAAGTGCCACTTCGCTACCAGATTGATTGAGGATGTAGCTTATAAGCGATACTTATAGTCTAGGAGGCAGTGACGATTTTCGGTACTTATTTTCCCAGTCACAAAACATGGATAGAATTGTAGGGTTAGTAATTCTAAGCAAAATACATATATTTTTAGGGGGGGTTTTCGGATGGGTTGAGGCGCAAAATGTGTTAAAGCTAACCAATGCACGGCCCTCTTTTTTCTCAGTGATAAAAATAGGTCTACTAATGAGAAGTATACTGAAATTACGTAAAAAAATACTCCGGCTAATCTGTGAGTATGGATAATATGTGTGGCAAGTGAAAAATTGAAGATCCGAAAATTTTCAGCCAGACTCACTTTCACTATCTGAGATAAGCCAAATTGCTATTTTCATATACATACTTTATGTTCTATTGTAGTAAATGTGAAATATTTATGACTGGGAAAATAAGCGTACTCGTACTTTTCATTGATCTTGTGAACCCATCCGAAAATTTTCGGCAGACTCAAAAATTCTTGCTTTGTATCACCAGGAGAACAAACTATTTAATAGACACCAACTGGGAAAATAGGTGCTAAAAAATTTCACTGCCTCCTGGACTATTACCTCCCCTTATAATAAAAATACTTATTCTACAAACGTCACTAAAAGTGTCATTTTTAACGGATGCTGTCAGTGTCTAAAATGCCATTTTATGACACTGGTGTTAAAAGTGATTACTTTTAGCACTAGTGCTAAAAGTAACCACTTTTAGTGCGTTTGTAGAAAAAATAGTGTATAATATTTGTGCTAAAAGTAATTTTATTTTGTTCAAAGAGATGGAACACTCCGCCTTCGGCGTCGTGTCCCAAACTTCCCTTTTCACAAAATAAAATGTCACTTTTAGCACTTATATCATAAATAACTATTATTTACGACTGACATATAATGTAACTCGAATATACCTGAACAAACTCAAAAATGTCAATGTCAAACGCGTAGTGCTTATGTGCTTGTGTATTTGTATTAAGATGGATGAACACAGAGCGTTTTTGGAAAGAAAATTTCAAGTAAATTAATTTGTCGTAAATAAAGTAGAGTATACTACTCGCAATAATGGCTATTATTCCCTCGGAATGTTACACCGCCAAACAATATTATTATTATCTTAAAATAAATAATTGAAGTGTAATGCGAGCTGACTGTTATCTGTTATCGTCCAGGAATTTAAGTAGAGCTGGGCATGGCTGTAGAGCTGGGCATGGCTGTAGAGCTGGGCATGGCTGTAGAGCTGGGCATGGCTGTAGAGCTGGGCATGGCTATAGAGACGGGCGTAATTGTACTTACTTATTTTTTCTATACGTATGGGTAGTAATCCCTAAACTAACTTGTAGCTCTTTGCTTTGATTTTTCGTATTATAGTTCAAGAAATAAAAAAGTAATAATAAAAAGGATACATTGAAATTTTAAGGGTCGTAACGCGCTTCGCGCGCCGCCTCTAAGATTTTGCCGCCCGGTGCTACTGCACCCAAAAGACCCCTGGATAAACCGGCCCTGTTTTGAGGCAGATGGTAAATTATATCAGTTCCGAAGAATTCCTTTTGGTGTGACAAACGGAGTTGCGTGTTTTCAGTGGGTAATAGACTACATAATGAAATCAGAGAATCTTGGAGGTGTCTATGCATATTTGGATGATATTACGATATGCGATAGAAATCAAGCAGACCATGATAAAACTTTAAAAGAATTTTTACTCGTTGTCAGAGAATACAATTTTACCATAAACGAAAAAAGAAGTTCTTACTTCCTAAAATCAATCAATCTTTTTGTATATCTGATCGAGAATACTACCTTGAAACCTGATCCAGTTAGACTTAAACCTCTACGAAAACAACCTGTTCCTGAAGACTCTCAGTCTCTGAAATGAGCTCTTGGAATTTTCGCCCATTACTCAAAGTGGATACCTTGCTTGTCAGAGAAAATTAATCGACGTGTTTCTTGAAAATCTTTTCCGTTGTCAGAAATCTGTGGAAACGATTTCGAGAAGCTTAAATTGGATATTACAAAATCAGCTGTTACTTCAATCGAAGATAACTTTCAATTTGTGGTTGAGACTAATGCTTCAGAACATTCCATTGCTGCCATTTTGAGTCAAGCAAGAAGGTCAGTTGCATTTTTCTCGAGAACACTGAGTAAATGTGAACAAAATCATTCATCAGTTGAAAAAGAAGCCTATTCCATAGTCGAAGCGATTAAAAAATGGAGGCATTTTCTGATTGGTCGTCATTTTCAGCTGATAACTGATCAAAAATCTGTATCTTTTATGTTTGATACCAAACACAGTAGCAAAATCAAAAATGAGAAGATTTTAAGATGGCGACTTGAACTATCATGTTACAGCTATGATATAGTATAAAGATCAGGACGAGAAAACGTAATAGCTGACACATTTTCTCGAATATGTGGTTTGAATATTCAGAAAAATTTATTCGATTTACATCAAGCTTTGTGTCATCCTGGAATCACTAGAATGGTCCACTGGGTCAGATCTCGAAATATCCTCTACTCTGTAGAAGATATTCGTATTATGTCAGCGTCTTGCCCAGTCTGTGCAGAACTCAAACCTAAATTTATTAAAAATATATCTATCATTAAAGCAACTTCGGATTTCGAGAGAATATCTCTGGAC